TTTGGCCGGGATTTCGGCTTCGATTTGGCCATAGGAGGAATCAGTGGGGAAAAACGAGTCGGGGGTATGAAATTTACCTCGATCGGCGGTCGGAAATTTCCCCGGTGCGGCGGCGAGTGGCGGCGGGTGGCGGCGGTCGGCCTCTGGTTCGTCTTCTCCGGCGAGCGGCTGGCGGCTAGGGTTTTTGGTCTGGTGTGGAGGTTCTATTTATAACCCATTGCCTTTTGATCACAGCCGTTCATTTCGTTTTAATCTGGGCCGTTCGTTTTTGATTGAATCTGGGCCGTCCGTGCGTTTGAATCTGGGCCGTCCGATCGCGTGATTGATCTGGGCCGTCGGATCGCACCCACGCGGATCGCCAACGTGGCTCCTTTCGGAGTGACGCGATCTTGCCACGTGGCAGGCCCCGGTTGGCCGGGACTGCTGACCGGGCCTGCTGACGTGGCCCCCCCCCCCCCCCCCCTTTTTTTTTTTTTTTTTTTTTTTTTTTTTTTTTTCCTCCTCCTTTCCGGGCGCTACAAAATTGGCCAGAAGATAGAATGCATGCCTGCCAAGTGTTCGATATATTTCCACAACCACATATTTAATTCTTCAAATGTGTTAAAGACAACATTCGTCCCAACAATTGAGGACCCATCTCTTGATTCTTGTACTTTGTCCATTTGGGTGTTGTGGACTCTCAGATCTATGGATGTGGAGTTCTTCCGTTAGAAGATCAAGGGATTCTTTTGTATTCAATATACATAAATACATACATGAATCCGTACATAGTATATTTGTGTCTGTATACACGTATGTGTATATATATATATATTTGTAGACCAACATTCTCATTCTTTATCTTTTTGTACTCTAAATTGTAAACCGTGTGTTTGATGTGCCAACCCCAATTGGGTATATTCTCTGATGGATTTATTGATGAGTTGAAGATAGGGACAGAATTTGGCATTTGGATTTTAGAGTGATGTTTGCATCTTGAATGTTCACTGATACCAACCAAAAGAAACTTCCTAGAACATGAAACTTCAAGGGCACCTTGGTTTTTGACAAGGTTCTGGTAGTTGTGTCTTGCTTTTTAAATAATGTCTTGCCAAAATTCATGCTTAAGTTTTGTATTCAGTCTTTCTTTTTAAGGCAGAGCTAGCATCTTGCCAAAACTCATGCTTAAGTCTTTGTGCACAAATTTGACCAAGTCTTTCACAATAGTTAATTGCGAAGGTCATAAGAACTAGTTAAGGTTATTTAGAAGTTTTATGAATAGTTAATCACCGTATATTCAGAATGGTTAACTCCATTAGATTGCTCTAGATAGGTGTTAAAATCTGGGGCAGTGGAATAGTTGGTTGTTGAGGTGTTAAAATCTAGGGCCCTTTTTTTTTTTTTTTTGTATACATCTACTAATTTTATTTAGCAAAACTTCAATAGATGGTTGGTTAATGGAAGGTGAGAAGGTGGTAGGTGAGGTTTGTGATTGAATGGATTGATTACTTTCTTTTCAATTATCTGGTAAAAACTTAGGGTAAACATAAAGATTATTTGGTAATCATGGTGAAATAGGAGAAAACCACCAGTCCAAATGCTACCTCTTGTGTGTGTGTGTGTGTGTATATTTTAATAAATATATTTATATATTTGTCAAGAAGGAAACTGGAGATTAGATTTTTTTTTTTTTTAAAGTGAAAAGGGGACCAAAGTTACCATTTATCTTATATTAGTAAATGGTAGATTACAGAATTAAGGATTGTTTATTTCCTTTTCTTAAACCTCTTTTTCCATTCTTCTTCCCTCCATATTTTCCCTCTTATCTTTTGTTTTCTCGCATATTCTTCCTTAAACTCCCACATGTAGATACATCGTGTTATGTGTTATTGTCATATTTTTATCTCAACAAACAGCTTTTATGTGCTCCATTGAATACTTTCTATCGGTGCTAAGAATTTTTGGATTTGAAAATTAGAAAAGGATAAAATGTGATCAAAATTATTCTAATTCAAAATTTTCTAAATACTCAAATTTAATCATTTCAACTGGAATTTTTCCTGGGTGTTTGAGATTGTTTATTGAACTTAAAAGTATTTGGTTTGATCTCCTTATTTGATGACATGAAAAATATATATATATTAAAAGTATTTGGTCTGACTTTTTAAATTCTTATTTTTGTAATTTATCAATTTTTTTTTTTTTTGTATATAAATATAACTAGTTATCTCCTTTATAAATGGATTTATCCATAATTGCTGATTTTTTATAATTAATATTTTAACCAAATGCAAAATAATTTATTTTTCAAATAAGATTTCATCTACTCTTAAGTAACTTGAAAACACCTTATTGCTTTAAGGGCATTCCTTCAGCCAATCCTAAATACCCTCTTTAGCATATTCCTCACTAAATTATATGTGAATTTTGAAGTAAATTGTATAAAAAAATCTCATTTTTTTATTCCTAACATAATCATAAAAACCTAAGGCAAATTTCTTCATACAAATAAATTTTTATCCCCTTATTTCTCTCCTAATAAGAATACTTATATGTCTGTTTGATAAATGAATAGAGTAACTTTAACGATCCGGTTAAACCGGATATTATATGTCTTCCATCACCATTATTGAGTTGTTCATGCAGGAGAAGGACCCTAAGTGGAAACCTTGCTTCCCAACATGTGGAATCCCCTATCTATGTAAATATTTATTTGGATCGGCACATGACTAAATTATATGACTTTTATAATTTATTTATTTCTGCATTTTGTTAGGCTTTCTAAATCAAAGTTTATATATATATATATATATATATATATATATTGTCCATAGACCCCATACTTGATTTGGGTTTTTCTTTAAGAGACAAAATATTACTGAAGAGTACTTGTTTTGTGAGGAGTCATATGAAGCCATGGGATGGTTGATCATTGGTCGCAATCCTATATTAGTTGTTTACTTGACAACATGTTATCAAAACCACATTGAATATAAAATACCCTTTAATTGCTTCTAAGTCATACCCACTACTTTCATCATCTACTTATGAATAAGTCTTATATCAAGTACTCATTCAAACTAGACTAAAGCAATAGTGAGAGATATCATTATTAAAATGCCTTCAAACAGCTTACTTCTTTCCTCCAAGTCCACCCAGATCAAGCAGACGCCTAGAGACAAGTTTTTCTCAAGGTTTTTAACCAGAGAACTCACCATGTCTGGCTTCTCCGTTGATGATTACCATGGAGAAACATCTGTTGCAGTGCCTTTCGATTGGGAGTCTCAACCAGGTACTCCCAGAATCAAACACAACGAAACTCCTCTTCCACCTCTTACACCACCTCCTTCCTATTTCTACACTTCACCAAAATGCTCCGCAAAGAAACACTCGAAGCCTAATCTCGTAGGCATCATATTCCCAAAACGCGGAGCAGGTAGGAAGGGCAGTGTCCCTTCATCTCCTGCTGCTTCTTCTTCGTCATCATCTTCTTCTTCATCTCAATCGTTAGTATCGCCGTGGCCAACATCGTATTCTGTGCCTTCTTCTCCGATGGTCAAGCCATCGAATTTTCGAGGAAGGTATGGGTTACCAAGCCCAAGATTTTCATTTGATTCAAAAACAGATGAGGAAGAAGATCAAAATGATGAATACATAGCTCATGTTTCAACTTTGAATGGTGCAAATTCCAGGTCTAGAGGATGTTTTGCATCTATAATCAAGCTATTAGTCAAGGGTGTTTAGTTAAAAATCTCTGCTTGTTTTTTGGCATCTGATCAGTTTCTTGCTTCTTTTATGGGGGTCTGAAGTGTATTGCTACAGATGTATTGTATATCCCCGGTATAGCTCTTGCTATGTATAAGAAAGAATTTACTTACTGGCAAGTGAAATGAAATTACTGCCTGTTAATTATTTATAAAAAAAAGGTGCCATTCATCATCTTTAATTTACTCGTGCCACTTCGGCACCTGCTTCTTTCCATCAATCCTCTCATAATTCTTGTCCAACGAAACCAAGACTGCTATCTGGTTCTGTGACTGCTGCTTGAAAGTTTCAAAAAATTTACTAACCAACGCTGTAAGTTTGAGGTTACAGTAACATTTTCATATTTTAATAATTTGAAATAAAAAATTACCCATTTAGAATTTCATAGCAACGACTGATCGATCATTTTCAATTGTGCAGTCTATAAACTTTTTATTTAAATATATTTCCCGGGACAGAACTCGGGGATCATTACTGCTAAATCTACATTCCATTACGACCACATGGGTGGGTGACAATGGACATCATTGTTTACAATTAATCAGAAGTAAAATTTAATAGGTATATGGTATATGTATATATATATATATATATGAATGTATATATTGTATGAGAGTCTTAGGGTGGATGGATCTGTAGGTTAGCCTTGTCATGTGGCATGTGAAAAAGTATAAAGTCAAAGGAGTGTATTTTTTTTTTAAAAATTAATTGTTGCATAATTTACTGACCCAAATTTAATGCACTTGATTTGAGCATTAATTGAAGTCGAATTAATGTTGTTAAATTTAGAAAATCCTTTCATGTGACACCCATCTCATTTCTACTTCGTTAAACATTATTTTATTATGTATATATATATATATATATATATATATATTTTTTTTATATCTCTGTGAAAGTGATTAATTAAAGAATTCGTATTGTTTAATTATAAATTTAGTTTTAATTATGAAAAATGAAGATAAAATTATTGATTTATTTCAAATACATCTTTTAATCAAGCTTTTTAGTTAAGAATAATCTTGACGACTTGCTACCTTTATAATTTTCAGAATTTTAAATATAACAGGGTTGTTGGAATTTTAGTCGTCACAGATTTTTGTTCATATTAAACTTGTTTTAACCACTTTTTTTACAGGAAAAGAACCACCATGTTAGGTTAATCCTCGATATTTATACACAAACACACACACACACACATACAAATACATATATGTAAATTCTACTGTTAATATATAAGACTTTTTATACCTAATGTTGTCGAATTAACACCTCTTTGAAACATTCTTCTATGTACTTTATAAATATTAATTATGAGTTTTAACATATATAATTAGTAATTTGTTAATTTAATTTCCTGAAATACTCAACTCAATTTATTATTTAAGACAAAATTAGAGTTAAATACTTTTTTCCTTTTTAGGTTTTATGACTTTAAAAATATTTATTCTTACCAATTTTAAATTTAAGATTATGAAACTAATTACAATCAGATCTATAATTTTGAATAGTTTTTATAATCTAATTCTTATTATTTCCCCTAATAATTTTAATTGGGTCCAAAAAATAATAATAATATTTTGCATTTGGGCTAAAATTCAAGGCGAACAGTACTGGGCGTGGATCATGAGTTACAATAAAGTCTTTATGAATTGTATTCTTTAAGGTTGATATAAAATATATCAAATAAATAAATATATATATATAATCATTTTCAATTGCTTCATTAAATTGAAAGTTGCTTAGATAATGAATTTTGATCACATTAATTGTCTCTTTTTATTTTATTTAAATTATATATGAAAATTTTGATATTATTATTATTATAACTGATGAATTCAAATATTCGAATTGAAAGACTGTATTTCGAGTGAAATATCAACACCTAATTTTTGCAATACACCTAGTTATATTTCTTGCAATAACATCCATGTGTGAGCATATATGGCTAGATATAAGTATCGGATACACATATTAATATGACTTGATAATGTGAAGCATTTATTCAATTGATGAAATAGGGTATCATTCTCATGAATATTCATAAGACACCCATTAATAATTTTTTTTTTATAATTAAATCGAAAAGTAAGTTCTTTAATTTTTCATAATCAAATTCTATAACTCATTAAATAACTTACCGATGACATTTTATTTCTGAATCGATTTAATTTGACTTGTTTAAATACGGTCTGATAAAATTTTATTTATTAAAATGTAAATTCAAACTAAATCAGAATAAAATTAATGGAGAAAAAAAGAGCAGGTCGAGACGGAGGAGAAGGATTCGAGTTTGATCTTATAAAATTCATTCGTACACAACCTATTATATATATTTGTTATTATAAATATTTCTTTATTTATATTACTAAATATAGTAAATATAATTATAATTACATCAATGAATATAATTAGAATATATTAATATAATAAATAATCAGGTCAGACTTGGGTTGAATACTTGAATTTAACACTCCATCGAATTTACTGTTTATAGGGGTGAAAGGGGCTTTGGGTTAATAAAATCTAACATGAATCGGCTCTGTTATCAATCCTAAAATACACATATAATGTATATACGTAGATATAATGTGTGCATAAATTTGGTAAACCCAATATATTTTCAGTCTGCAAGTCACGGGATATGTGCGTATATATATATATATATTTGAGAAGAAGTAATGAAATAATTGAAAATACAGTGCAGAAGCAAACCCACTTGCTGGAAAAGCCCCTTTACAATGAACTTAAGCAAAAGCCCAGACTTGAAAAGTCAAAATATTTATATATTCTTCTCTGCACGTGACCAAGCTGCCTCATCCATAAAATATAAATGCAATTATTATATTATAATTTCTCTCTTAATTTATAAAAATAATTATGCCTTTGTATTATATTTTTGTTAAAACTAGAAGAATTCAATTATAAAATATTTTAACAACATAATTAATATTTTAGATTCTAAACTCTTATCGTTTCAGGTTAATCACCTAGCCCTAATATTGAAATCATGAATATATAATTATGACGTCGGCAACTTGAAAATGAGAATGGCAATCTCACTTTCAACCTTTTTCTCTCACCTATATTATGCCACCTTTTTTGTTTGCTTCCTCTCAGAAAAACATTGACCTACTTTTTTTTTTTTTTTTTTTTTTTTTCTATTTGATTTATTTAAAACTCATTCTTGCCTTTTAAGAACTCTTCTTCTTTCTTTTTCTTCCTCTTTTGAAACTCTTTCTTCTTTCTACCTCCTTCCTCCCAAACAACCCTCTAGCATGCTTGAATGTCCAGGGACAGGTAACAACTCCGATCATCATCATCATCAAGATTTCTTTTTTGAATTTTTTCTATGAGACAGACATCTCGATTGAACCCTTGTTGTGATTGCAGGGAGATATTTGTTGATGAGATTGGGAAGAAGATCAAGAGAGAGATCAGCACAGTTGTTACTGGTCCAGCAGATGCATATAATTCTGATCAAATGGGTAGGAGACATGTAGCCCTAAGTCCTCCTGGAATCTTTAACACCATCACACCTTGTGCTGCATGTAAGCTTTTGAGAAGAAGATGTGCAGAAGAGTGTCCTTTCTCTCCTTACTTCTCTCCTCATGAACCCCACAAATTTGCTGCCGTTCACAAAGTCTTTGGCGCTAGCAATGTCTCCAAGATGTTAATGGTATATTTTATATACATATAGCACACATAAGCACACTTTTATATAAACCCTACCTACCTATCTCTTTAGATAACAAAAACTCTTTTCACTAATCTTTCTCTTGAGTTGATTTATTGTGTTTTCTTTTTTAGTTATGGGTTAATTATATATCGTACGTGGGTTGTGTTTATATATGTACACAGGAGGTGCCGGAGTGCCAGAGAGCTGATGCAGCTAATAGTCTGGTTTATGAGGCTAACTTAAGACTAAGAGATCCCGTATATGGCTGCATGGGTGCAATTTGTGCATTACAGCAACAAATTCAAGCTCTACAGGCCGAGCTTAATGCAGTAAGAAATGAGATTCTGAAATACAAGTATGGATCAGATCATCAAGCTACTAATACCAATATGATCATCAATCCAAATTCTACTCATCATGCGGCTCTGATTAATCCTAATTCTGTTGCAGCAATATCACAAAATAACACTCTACCCAATTTGAATCCGCCTCGATGCTCGCCGCCTCCTCCTCCACCGTTACCTCCGCCGCCTTCCATAGTAATTTCATCATCATCGTCTACCACTACTGCTTCTTCTATGTACAACCAGCAGCCTAGTAGCTCAGGAGGGTATAGCTCTATTTCAAGTGATCAGAATAATGTTCCATATTTCGATTGATTTTTAATTCTGCATGATATAGAGATCAGAGAGAAAGAGAGGGAATTGATTATTCTACTGTTGTTGGGTTTAAATTTATTTATTGTCATGGGTATGAAAGAATTATTGATTGAGATCATGAAATTTGTTGGACTAGGCCGAAGTTATTACATATGATGATCACGATGAATTTAAGGTTTGATCTATATATAAAATTTGTGTTGTTCATGTAGTTCTTTTAGGGTGTATGGTTTGTGTTTAGTCATGAAGTTTGCTTTGATTCATTATATGTATATATATATATATATATTCCGGTGAGTCGACATGCACGTGCGATCTTCACGTGTCGTATAGGGGTACATGTTTGTCAGTGCCATTAATAAAGGAGCTGGTTTAAGCTAGGGACGTGGGGGAGACAAAAGGGTTGGCAACTGTGTGATTCTTCCCGTGTACATTAATTACAAATTCAAGTAATAATATTAAAGCACCAGTCTCATCTAATCAAATTATTATATATATTGAAATATGAAAACCAAGTCAATGTCAAGCTCGCCAGCTTTTGCTGGCTGCTCTTTTAGAAGGAAGAACTTCGGTGAAGAATAATTCATTAAATTTTTTAATGGATCCTTAATTAAACTATTTTTTTAATTAATTACGTGATTAATTACTTGTTTTTGTTAAATTTCCTGGTTATCTAGGTTTACTGCCTTTCCCATGTTTAATGGTATTTTCGATGAATTATAATCAATCTTACAAATTTTGATTTTATTTTAATACATCTTTTGTCATCAATGTGCAATATTTTATGATTTACGTTTGGTTATTATATATAAGTAAATATTATTTCATTTAGTTTTTCTATAATTTTTAGTTTTTAACATCAAACTATCATTTGTTTATGTTAATAAATCGGGACATATCTATACATATATATATATATATATACTAATTCCTTAATTACATCCGATTACAATAAATAAAATACAAATGAAAAAGATACTACAAATTAACTAATGTAATATAATAAAATATAATATAAATAAAAATAACAATGTAGGTAGCTCTAAATCAAATTTGTATTTAATTAAAATTAAATATGTTTATTATTCATTTTCTTAAAGTACAATAAATTATGATTACAAAATTGACTTAATTATATATTTAATATATAAATTATCACTAATTTTTACCTTGAAGATAATCATAATTATAATTACCACGGATTGACTAACCTACCAAACCTTGGGTTGTTTTTAAATTGGATAATGGGATTTTTTTTTTTTTTTGGCTTTGTGTGCATTTTATATCTGGATTAATTAAGTTAATAATATAATAATGCGAAATTAGATGCTTTAAATTGTTAATTATATATTTAGTTTCCTTGACGTGTGGAGTTCAATTTCAGTAGGGCAGGGAAATTAAAGGGGTACGTGTATAATAATAATATGTATAAGTAGAGAGGATAGTGATGGAATTTGGTTTCACGTCATGGTTGCTTGAAATCTTCGCTTCTTAAATTGTCTTCATTATTAATTACATACATACATATCATTTTAATTATTTTCTTTAAAAACCAAAATTTTCTAATTTTATTCTTGATCAATAAGGCATGAAATTTCGTTAATTAATCTCCCAAACAATTAATTTTCAGGAGAAATTTATAAAGCTAATTCAACTTAATTATGAATTAAATTGTAATTAATATAATATAATAGTCACGACTGATATATGTTGCGTTTCATACGTAGTTGACCGGCAAATAATTAATTAAATATGCGTGTCAACATTCAATAGCTAATGATTAATTTATATAAACATTAATTAATTTCCTTTAAATGAATTAGTTTGGAATCAACCTCAGTAAATGTACATCAGAGATATCACATGGGGTTTAATATTAATTAACAACTTATCATAGCTAATTATAATATATATATATATATATATATATATAAAGTCGATTAAACTTTTTGTTCTAATCAGAAATTAATTAATGGAATATATATATCTTGTAAGATAACATGGACAGCTCGAGACTGTATATACATACTTTATTGTTGATCTTTGACATTTAGTAAAATTAGTTTATCACTATGTATATTATTATATAGAACGGAAATGAAAATTCTAAAATATATTCAAAATTTGACTAATTTTTTTTAATAATATTTTTATTATTATTCAATAGAGATATATTGGGTCTGTATTTAATACGTATCCTTTCAACTTAACATGATTGTTTTAATTAATATATAAGTAATCAAAATTGAGCAATTTTTGTTTATTTCGAATTTTAAATTAATTAATAATTCAATCGATTTTTCTGAATATATATATATATATATATATGTTATGTATAGGTTTAACCTTGTCACTATATGTATAGGTTGTCTACACGACAATTCCTCATGCCGTGCCAATGCAAAATTTCGCTTTTGGGCCTAATTATGGAATCTCAGACCTTTGGGCCTAATTTAAATCAAATTGAAATTGAACTAAATTGTTTTTTTATTTTTATTTTTCTCACAATCAAATTGGGGGCAGATGTTACAAAATTAAAAATCTTGCCTAGTATGAGCCTTTAATATATATATATATATATATATATATACATATATATACACACACACATACACACGCACATATATATACCCACACAACTAAACATACATTGCAATGCTTTATAACATTTCTCTAACATTTTTACCGTACCAAATGTAATCGATGGTTGACGGA